CAATAGCCTCACGTATCATCTTTGGTAGGAATCGGTGTTCTTTCACGAGGATTTGTGGTCTATCAAATCTGATGTAATAGTTGGGGCCGTCTAGGATATGATCGCAAACTGCAGACTTCCCCGAACGTTGATGCTTCACATCAGCTATATGTTTTGCATAGATCGGACCATAAACAATAATTAAAAAAAGCTGAAGGTACTCCGGGTTTAACAATGACATCGGGACGTCAGTCATCTCAGTCCCCCGTGACCATGGGTGCTGGAAAGCGCCCGAAACGTCGGGAATTAAAAATAATTGTAAAATAAACGCGATAAAATCCGTAAAAGTAGTTTTGATCAATGTGTAGTGTTCGCGTAAATATAAGAAATTAATATAGTTGTTATCAGAAATACGCTTCTGTCTATGGTTAATTTGCTTCTGTCGCCTCCTACGAGTCTCACGAGATAATGTAGTGTAGTGGATATCCTTACTGAAATTAAAAGCTGCGGTTGTTCACCCATTTTCCAAAATAGCAATTAAGGGATCCTATAAGTCAATCTATGGGAATACCTTTATTTAGAAGTCGACTTTTAATAGGCTGTAACGGTAGCGGTAAATAAGTTTTATTCCATAAAGTGACATGATCAAGTTAATAATCGTAATAAAATATTATAAACTAACCTACTTTATGACTTCGGAAAATAGAGCATTTTATGATCATGAATGAATTGTGAATCATTCACTTAATCGTTTTTTTTTAATTTGTTAAATAAAACGTTCCATAAAAACTTATGGCATACCAAAATACGTAAAATATCGTTGTTTGCGAGCAATTTGAGCTCCTACACACGCAATGAAATCCTGGGTAAATCAGAAATTACCAAATATTTTAAGTACTCGTAATATATTGCGAAGACCAATATTCTGACTTACAGAAGAGACTACCACCCTGGATCCACCTAGTTGACTCCTTCTTCAACAGCCTCTGCAAAATAAAGGACAATATTGCTCTAATGTGTAAATAAATGCGCATGACATGCGTATTTGCGTGACGACAAAAAAAGCAAAGAATCAGAACATTAACATGCTTCAAGATGGTCTTAAATACTTTTAATTTCTTTATATATAGAGTCCACGTGATAGTAAGTGATGGTATCCTCGATTAATTATCAAAATGCAGATATGTTGTCATCCCTGAGGATAAAGATGGAATACTTCATTTTCAGTAAAAAGGGTATCAGGTTATCTATACGAAACACGGGAGCTGCTATTTCATACTAGTATTCTGTAAGATCATGAACCACAATATAGCTGTACATTAGCTCTACCATATCAATAAAATTTACTATTATAGTGTTTCGTAAAAAATAAAATTTTTACTTTTTTTTTGATAAAATAACAATGCAGATATTCGAAATCTCTGATAAAATATATTAATGCAATGATTTACTGAGGTGTTGAAACATAAACAATTGTGGTTATATTGCAGACGGGTGAATAATGTTTTACTCGTGTAATAAATTTTACATACAGTTCGAATCGTACCAATTTACCCTTTAAGTAATTTATTCAAAATTATTATTGCTAATGTAAAACTGCACTTACTCCAAAATTATTACTAATGCTTTTGACACAATTTCCGTTAACCACACCAATGAGGGCTACTTCTTTCTTCGCCACCAGGGCAGCGCTACTTGGGAAAGAGTTGAAATTTTTGACATCATCATTGCGAGAAAAGTTAATTAGAAAAGTATCGAGATTAGTATTTCGCTCTGAAATATTAGTTTATATTTTAAATGAATTCAATTAGAGAAAGATAAACCAAAATATACTAAAATCTTCGTAAAAGTAGAAGAATTAAGCAAATGTTAAAAATGTGTAAATAATTTAAGAATACAGCACAGAGGCATTGTTTTGCGTAAACAGTAAATCCCACGATTTTTGCGTAGCCAAATTCACTTCAAAATATTACATAAACAATAAAACAATAGAAATAATCCACATGCGCTTAAGTTCCTCCAAAACTCCTTTTCAATAGTTGTTACAGGTCATCGTCGGAGATAATGCTTTTTGGCATGTCACAATACCAGGAATGACGTTTCACAGTTTCCAAATTGGCATACGTAACAAGAATATTCACAATCTTGACGCTATTCTTTCATGTCAATACATTTAGATATAATATTTAGATAATTTTTGACATCATGTTCCAGAAGTCACGACATAAGTAGCGATTTTAATCAAATACAATAAAATAAATTTCAATCTACTTTGCAAAGGTATCAATAGAATAGATATCTTAGGGGTTCCGTTAATTTTCAACTAACGTGACTGTTTTGAAAATGTTAAATTTCACATACGGAATACCAACGATTTACGTCAAGTTTTCTGTAATCAATATATACGCGAATTCCAAAACAGTCTTCATTTCTTCGATACTTCGGTAAATCTATCTAGAGAACCTAACGAAGCGGAAAATAAGTAAATCTGTAGGATTTGCATACGAAACGGTTGTGTTTTTTGATTGTTTGAAAATATTATTTAAGGTAACGAACATGTTTTTACTATTTTTTTTTATTTTGCTATCGATTTTATGCCAACTTCTCGATTAGCAAGGGAGCTAGAGACTTGAAACTAAATATAGATCAAAACTGGATGACGGTGCAAAAAAACTCACTTTTTAGTTATCTGTTTTCTTGTCTGTTTCGTGAAAATTGCAAATCGATTGTGAAAACGATTTTAAGCTACAGACAGACATTTGCCGAAGGGTATGTATATGGTCTGTGGTGCTAAAGCCTTTTCAGAAATCGGCTTGTTCGGGAGGCTGGATGATGTATGTCCATCAGAGGACCTTTAAGTAAAGGCTAAAATAGGTGGTATGGATTAATATTATTAATAACATAAATTTATGACTCTATTGGGCTCTATCTAAACGTTTGGCTGCGGCGCTCCAGCAGTATGTGAGACAGGATTTGCCGTCGTCATGCTTGGCAGACAGATTGACGATCGCAGCATTAGACGTCTCGCCCCTTCGACGCTGCTGCCCGTCGCCGGTCTTGGTGTTTTATGTCTAACGTAAGTGAGATTTATACAGCCATCTATCGGAAGCCATAACATTTTCTGGTATGTTTCATAGTCGCCTCTTACGACACTCACGGGACGAAACGGGTTTATGATTTCTCTACGCCGCAACCACACGACAGCAATCAATTTATCAATCTTTGCCTTAGATCATTCAAACCAAAAGGTCTAATATCTTTGCATATAAATAAAATTGAAACCTCTGTCTGTCATATGAAAAGTACGGCACTTTTTTAGCTGAGGTTATTTGTATGACATTAAACATGATTAATTTTTTTAAATGTTTATCATTTTGTTTGTCTGTCTCAGCCGATTATAATGTAACTTAATAAACAGATAGTAATGCCAGGAGTGATCTTTGCTATATTTTATCCAAAAAACTTGAAGAATTAAAAAATACGCAAACATTGATAAAATAAATAATAGACTTTGATTATCTTAAACCTCTTCTTTTATTATTTACCCAGGCGAGGCCAGGCTGGGTCGCTAGCGATAAAAATAAAATAACGCACGGAAAAAGCACAATGGTCCATATGAATCATAAGTAATTTATCGTAATAATATGCAAATCACTTTTTTTTTAAATAAATGGGCCACGACTTAAATTCATAAAAACGAACGCCACGACCGTTGCGTCTAGTCATTCTTTAGGTTTGTTTACTATGGTATCATGAGTCTGACTAATTACGTCACAAATCAGAATGACGTGTATTCACTCGTGACGTTTCCGACGTGCACTCGGGAATTTACGTTGTATTAAGAAGCTTTAGAACAGTCGCAAAAATGGTAATCAAATAAAATTTTGATATTTATAATTTTGATAACAAATATAAGAAGTTATTATGTTAATATGCAAACAGTTGTCTTATCTAAAAACTTTTCAGATATGGGTATCGTAATATAATTCAGTTCATGTAATCCTTTTCAGAGAGCAAATAAAAAAACGTCCCAAAAAAGTAATTAAATGGAAAAACATACATGACGATACCGACACGCGTGGCCATTGTGTAACATTACCGCCATATTATACGACGGAGATAACTGTATTGCCAGATTAGAAATATTTTTATGTATTTAAATTAAAATAAATTATATTCATGAATAATGTGATGTGTTATTTTTTAGAAATGGGCCGTCCATTTCAAATCAAATAGGCTTTTCATTACATATTGTAGATATTATGTGCTCCTCTTTTCTCGCTCCATCGGAACAACTAATAAATAGAATAAGAACGTATTGGTTCTTTCCCTCTCTGTCTCTCAAGATATTCAATTCAAGAAAATGTTGGATATTTTTATATATTTTTTTGCTTTGTATCAGAAAATGATAGAATGAAGTTTTGTAGAGACTTGGTGTATATATATATTGTATCAATAGTGTTAGACTCTTGCGGGTCTTTAAAAATCTATTTTTATAGCAGTTCCAATGACTGTATTAAACTGAATATACGTGAAAGTGCACCTACGTTTATTTATATTAGGATTGTTTTAGCGGACTTTATATTAAACAGGGGTGATATATATAAAGCTATGAAATGTCATAATAGTAATGTAAAAAAGCATAGAATAATATAAAGAAAATAATATACCTAATATGTAACATAAATACGAAGCTTTGATAATCCTTTAAACACATAACATTGCTAAATTGCATATTCGATAAATGGAGAGTAAATAAATATATAAGTTATTCACTTTTATATTTATATAATTAAAATATAAGTGAATAACTTATATATTAATAATAAGTTATTAATTTAATATTATAAGTAAATAAAAAAAATCTCTTTACAAAACAAAACTATTTAACTTATTAAAAAAGGTTTCGCCTTGTCTTTCGGTTCTTATATCTGTTGCTATTACGAGGGTTGAATCAGGTAAAGAGAGGCCGGAAATGTATTTATATTAACGTGGTCCAATTAAAAGCAAATTACTCGCAGTGTCGCTGTAAAGAATAGACGTCGCTATTTACATAACGTCGCTATTTCCAAAAAAAAAAGGATTGCTACTTTTTGGACGAAAAATATAAAAGGTATTATAATTTGGCTAGCACATTCCAATAAAAGCTTTAATTTTAACATATGACATATTATATTGTATTAAAAAAAAAAAAATATATATATATATATAGGAGGGGCGAAAAGTGGATTGCGGAAACCCGCCTGGCTACGCTGAATCTATGTGGAGAAATGAATGATAAGATGGATGAAGTATGCGAAATGATGAATGACAGAGGAATAGATGTGTTATGTGTGAATGAGACGAAACGAAAGGGAAAGGATGCCACTGCACATGGCACGTATACCGCGTATTGGTCTGGTGTAGACGAGACCGAACGGGCATGCCAGGGAGTCGGTTTCATCCTTTCAGAAAGAATGGGTCAATGTGTGAAAGAGTATGAATGTGTAAGCCCGAGGCTGCTATGGATACGAATGAAAGTGGGCTTAAAGATGCTGTTCCTGCTAAGGGGTGTACGCCCCAGACATGTCTAAGCCCACTTACATCCGAGAGTAGTTTTGGGACATGGTAAGGATGGTGTTGACAAAATGTAAGGAAAATGAAAATATTATTATGTTAGGAGACTTTAATGGAAGGTTTGGGATGAAGAGGTCTGGGTATGAAAGGATATTGGGAACGTTTGGTGATGAAAGTATAAATGAGAATGGTGACGCCTCCTCACCGTATGTGTGGAAAAGAATCTTTTTGTGACGAATACTTTTCTCGTCATAAGAAGATTCACATGTATACATGGGAAAGAGATGATGATAGAAGCATGATAGATTTCGTAATTGTGGATGAAAGAATGAGGAGCGCAGTCATAGATACAAGGGTTTACCGGGGGTCCAACGTAGGGACGGATCATTACTTGGTCTTATGTCGAATTAATGGTCTTTTCAAGCGTTGGCGGCATCGGACATCTGTGTCTACCACTGCGTTACAGCGTATAAGAATAGAGAAGTTACAAGATGAAGATGTGAAAGAGAAGTATAAATGTAGACTGAGAGGAAATATTAGATGTTTGAATGAGTTGTGTATGAATGATTTAGACCTGAATACTGTGTGGGATAATATTAAGAAAGGTTTGGTGGATGCCGCCACTGAAGTATGTGGTGTAAGTAAGAGAAAAAATGAAAGGAAAAGTAATACGTTGTGGTAGGATGATGAAGTACGGGTGGAAGTTGAATCAAAGAAGAAAGCATGGTTAGATTTACTAGCAACCAAAGCTGGTAATTCTTCTGGTATGAATAATGAGATTGAAAGAAAAAAGGCAGACGTTAGACGTCTAAATAAGAAAGTAAAAGAAGTTGTTGAAAGGAAAAAGAAAGAAAGAACGGATAAGAATGATAGAAGGATATCTGATAATTTCCAGGCTAACATAAAAATGTTCTGGAAACTCGTAGGAACTGCCAGGGAAAATACAAAACAGCCTATAATGAATGCTATAAGAGACGAGAATGGATGTATTCTGAATGATGAAGCTTCGAATTTAAACAGATGGAAGGAATACTTTGAAAGCGTGTTTATGAGTGAAGAGTCGTCTGAATTAAATGAACTAGAAATTCCGAAAGAAGTGGAAAGGGGTATGGAGATAAGTGTAGATGAAATAATGAAAGCAATGAAAAGCATGAAAGCAGGTAAGGCAGCTGGATATGATAGAGTATCACTCGAGATGCTAAGGGCTGGAGAGGGAGTGGTGGCAGGCCTGCTGTACACCTTGTTTAATTTATGTTGGGAATGAAAACGGGTACCGGATGACTGGCGTAAGGCAGTTATAGTACCAATATATAAAGGAAAAGGGTCACAGCAGGACTGCAAAAATTACCATGGTATCAGCTTGCTTAGTATTGTGGGTAAACTGTATGCTAAGGTGTTAATTGAAAGAGTTATGAGAGAAACTGATGGAAAAATTTGGGATGTGCAAGCGGGTTTTAGAAAGGGAATGGGGTGTACAGATCAAGTCTTTTCCATGCGCATGATTGCGGAGAAGTTTTTGGCCAAAAACCAGAAAGTTTTTTGTGCGTTCATGGACTTGGAAAAGGCTTATGACAGAGTGGACAGGAATGTGTTATGGCAAACACTGAACTCATATGGGTTGAGCGCTGGTTTGATACAGGCATTAAGGTCTCTTTATAGGAAATCTAGTGCTTGTTTCAGGATCAATGGGGTCTACTCGGACTGGTTTGGCATCCAAAAAGGTGTCAGACAGGGCTGTGTAGCTTCCCCTTGGCTGTTCAACCCATTTATGGACAGGTGTTTGCAAACTTTGAAAGATGAAGAATGTGGGTTAAGAATGGGCGAGTTAACCGTCAAATGCCTTTTGTATGATATTGCCGATGATCAAGTCATATTTGCGTCATCGGCGGCTGAGTTGCAAATGATGGTTACATTAATGAACTGGGAATTAAAAGAAAGGGGAATGAAAGTGAACGCAAGTAAGACGAAAGTGATGGTTTTTGAAAGAGAGGAAAGCAAAACGGTATGTGAAATAAGAATAGAAGGAGAGTTAATTGAGCAAGTGGATGAGTTTGTGTATTTGGGATGTGTATTTAGCAGGGATGGTAGATGTGATAGGGATATAGAACGACGAGTAAATGCAGGGAATAGAGTGAATGGGGCACTAAACTCTATTATGAAGAACCAGAATGTGTCAACAAAGGCACGTATGGTAATTCATAATGCTGTGTTAGTCCCTACTTTAATGTATGGTAGTGAAAGCTGGGTGTGGCAGAAGAAGCACGAAAGTAGAATAAATGCTGTAGAAATGCGGTCTTTAAGGAGTATGCTAGGGTTGAATCTGAATGACAGGGTGAGAAATTGCGTGATAAGAGATAAATGTGGTATGCAAGATGATGTTGTGACCAGGATTAAGAAAGGAATGCTTCGATGGTTTGGTCATGTAGAAAGAATGAATGAGGAAAGAGTGAAAAGCAAATTTATATGGCAGATGTGAACGGCCAAGTCGGGAAGGGACGCCCTAGAAAAAAGTTTATCGACCCAATTAGCGATATTTTGAAAAGGGGCCACGTTAGAAGTACCCTTAACCGACGAGCATGTATGCGTAGATATATGGATGTAAAGGAGGCGAAAGAGGTATGTCAGGATCGTACCAAATGGAAGTCCGTAGTCTCTGCCTACCCCTCTGGGTGACAGGCATGAGTGTTTATATATATATATATATATATATATATATATATATATATATATATATATATATATATAATAGAAAGTTTAGACCTACCACAAGCTGACTGGTAGAGAATTCCGATAGACATATAGTTCGCCCATTATCCTCTTAGTTGTAATGTGTTATAATAAATAATAAATAGATATATAATAAATTAGACATTTCCGTATACATCGCCTCCTTTTTACGATGATCAAAAGTGCAATACATTTGATAGTGTGATCGTCGATCGGCTTGCCAAGCGTGACAATTAAGGCAAATCCTTCTTACAATGGTAGAAGCCCATTTAAAATCATGTAATTATATTACTGACTGGTCAAGAAAGAGATATTCTATAGAACACGATTATTTTACTATTCATGTAATATTATGAACCCAAGAAAACTAATATATCCTTTTATTTCAGTCATGATGCCCGCAGTTAAGATTTTTATCTTTTTGATGGCTGCACTTATTACCAGCAAAGCACAGAGACCTTTTTATGCTGGTCTTAGGCCAATTGGATTTCCGGAAATAGAGACCAATGATGTGTTACTTAACAGATTCGGTGAAGATGTACCAGGCCCGATTGAAGCTAAGGGAGACGGGAATCTAATTAACAGACTGAATAAAATGCCGATTGATAAGAGACCATTTTGGTTCCTTAACTGGCAGGCATACGATGATTTAAGAAAGAATCCTCAAACTTGGCCCTTAAAGCCTAACACATTCATTAACAGAAATTGAACTGAAAGAAAAATGATATCAATTCTTGCCAATTTTATTGCAAGGATATTTAATTTTCAATATTAGGAGATTGTTGAGAAACGATGAAAAGTAAATTTTATCAAAATCTGTAATAAATTAATAGCACTTCAAATTATAGTTAAACTTATTAAATAGTTTTATTTGTTAATAATTTCTTGGAAAGTATTGTTAAGGATTTTTTAAAAGGAATTTAAATATGTTAAACAGTGTTAGTTTATAGTATATCAATAAACCTGAGTATCAATATGTTTTTTTGTGTTTGCTCTATAATTTTATATAACCATAAAAATATTTATTTATGTATTAATAATCACACGAAAAACAAAATTGAAACTTGTGTCTTAAAATTTAAAAGCAAGTGGCAGGCATCTTTTTTAATGTAAAACTTTGTTCAAATATTTTCTTTTATATATATAGAAGAGGGGGCAAACGAGCATGCCGCTCACCTGATGTTAAGTGACTACCGCCGCCCATGATCAACAGCAACACCAGGAGAATTGCAGGTGCGTTGCCGGCCCTTTAGAAAGAAGTAAGCTCTTTTCTTGGAGTTCCCCAGGTCGTATCAGTCCGGAAAAATCGCCGATGGTAAACTATTCCACAGAGAGGTCGTCCGCGGAAGGAACCTCATTGTGAAACGTATAGTGGTGAACCGTCAAGCATCCAGAGGGTGTGGATGGTATCGGGACATTTGCCGCGTAGTGCGTTCACGAAATTTTGGGGCTGATATTAATCATAACAATTCCTCAGAGCACTCCCCATGGTATATGCGAAAGAAAATGCAAAGAGATGCAACATCTCTTCGCAGCGCCAGCGCGCAGTGAATCGAGCCGATCGGAAAGCACTCGGTCGTCGACGATTCGAGCCGCTCTACGCTGGATGCGCTCAAGTGGAAGGAGCTGATACTGGGGAGCTCCAGCCCAGAGATGGGTAGACCAGTATTCCATGTGCGGCCAAACCTGCGCCTTGTAAAGTTGCAGGTGGTGTGCCGGCATGAAATACTATCCCGCTCTGCTGAGCACGCCAAGCTTTTAAGAAGCCAATTTGGCCTTCTCTTCAGAGTCACCACGAAACTGCACTGTCACTCGATATGTCGACGCCGAGGATTCCGATACTGGCTGAGGCTACAAGGGGAATGCCTTGAAACTGAGGAGATACGACAAAGGGGTTCATTTTAGCGGTTAACGCGCAAACTTGTGTCTTCTGGGGGTTAAACTGGACTAGATTTAGTCGCCCCCAATCGGAGACTCTGTTCAGCAAAGACTCGACTTCAGAGACAAGTTTGTCCCGGCACTCAGAGACGTTTTCCCGAGAAATATTGGCTCGGCCGGTGTAAAGAGCATCACCAGTGCTGTCACCTGTATAGCGATGAATGTTGTGGATTTGCAACATATAAATGATACGCAGAAGAAACAGCGTTGGTGATAGCACGCAGCCTTGTGGAACACCAGCTTTAATAGATTTGTAATCGGAGCTTGCACCGTCTACAATAACCTTGATGCTCCAATCTGCAAGAAAACTGGTGATTCAGTTGCACAATTTCTCGGGAAGCCCATAGGAAGGGAGCTTCGAAAGAAGCGCTTTGTGCTAAACCCGATCGAAGGCATTCGCAATGTCCAAACTAACGGCCAATGCCTTCCTCTTGGACTCTACTGTCTCCACCCATCTGTGAGTTATGTAGACTAGAAGACCACCAGCTGATCGACCACGACGAAAATCGTTTTGGCGATCACTAATCAGCTGGTGATCCTCAAGGTACCTCATGAGCTGGTAGCTTACAATGGACTCCATTGTTTTGGAGAACAAGGAGGTGATGGCGATAGGCCTGTAGTTGGACGGGTCTGAGCGGTCACCTTTTTTAGGGATCGGGTGGATGAAAGCCATCTTCCACAATTTTGGGACTACGCCTAGGGAGTAAGAGTACCGGAAATGTCGCGTTAAAACCGGTGCCAACTCTGGAGAACACGTCCTCAGCACAATTGGGGGGGATTCCGTCAGGACCACTCGACTTGTGAATGTCCAGGGAGAGGAGTGCTTTGCGAACCGAGCGCTGTGTGAACTGCACCTCCGGAATGGAACACTCACACCGCGGGGTGGTCGGCGGCGTACTCCCCCCGGTTAACGAGATTCGAGATGGACGCAAAGAAACAGCCTAGCAGATCGGCTTTCTCCTTTGCGGTTTGGGCTAGTGAGTCGTCCTCCCTGTGCAGAGATGGAAGAGATGGCTGACAGAAATTCCTTGGACAGCCTTGGCGAGAGACCAGAATGCACGGGTTGCAGAAGGAAGGCGAACTAGTTTCTCGCCAATTCTGCCTATGTGCTCTGACTTTGCCTTGGCAATAACTCTTTTGATTCCCAGAGACGGAACTTATACTTCTTTTTTAGAGCGCTGGTGTTTACATCCCGGGACGTTGATGCGTCAGCCCAGGCTTGGTAGCACTCCTGTTTATAGCATGATGCTTTTTTACAGGAGCGACCAAACCATGGCTGAGATTTGCCTCTGATGGGCACCGCAGAGGAAGGAATAAAAAGTTCCATACCCTGAAGCACCACATTAGCGACATAATCCGCAACAGCTTTGGGATCAACCGGCGAGAAGCAAATCCGCCCCCCAATTGTAGGATTTTTTTTATAAAAGAGGGGGCAAACGAGCATGCGGCTCACCTGATGTTAAGTGGCTACCGCCGCCCATGATCAACCGCAACACCGGGGGAATTGCAGGTGCGTTGCCAGCCCTTTAGAAAGGAGTACGCTCTTTTCTTGAAGGTCCCCAGGTCGTATCGGTCCGGAAAAATCGCTGGTGGTAAACTATTCCGTAGAGAGGTCGTACGCGGAAGAAAACTCCTTGTGAAACGTACAGTGGTGGACCGCCAAGCAGATGGTGTGGATGGTATCGGGACGTTTACTGCGTAGTGCATTCACGAAATTTGGTGGCTGGGATTAATCCGAACAATTCCTCAGAGCACTCTTCATGGTATATGCGAAAGAAAATTCAAAGTGCCAGTGAATCGAGCCGATCGGAAAGCACTCGGTCGTCGAAGATTCGAGCCGCTCTGTGCTGGATGCGGTCAAGTGGAAGGAGCTGGTACTGGGGAGCCCCAGCCCAGAGACGGGAACAGTATTCCATGTGCGTCCGAACCTGCGCCTTGTAAAGTTGCAGGCGGTGTACCGGCATGAAGTACTGTCCCGCTCTGCTGAGCACGCCAAGCTTTTTAGAGGCTAATTTGGCCTTCTTTTCCAAGTGACCACGAAACTGCACGTCACTCGATATGTCGACGCCGATGATTCCGATACTGGCTGAGGCAACAAGGGGAGTGCCTTGAAACTGAGGAGATACGACTAAGGGGTTCTTTTTAGCGGTTAACGCGCAAACTAGTTTCTTCTGGGGTTTAAACTGGACTAGATTTAGTCGCCCCCAATCCGAGACTCTGTTCAGCAAAGAATCGACTTCAGACACAAGTTTGTCCCGGCACTCGGAGACGTTTTTCCGAGAAATATTGGCTGAGCCGGTGTAAAGAGCATCACCAGTGCTGTCATCTGCATAACAATGTATGTTGTGGGCTTGCAACATATCATTGATATGCAGAAGAAACAGCGTTGGCGATAGCACGCAGCCTTGTGGAACACCAGCATTAATAGGCTTGCATTCGGAACTTGCACCATCTACAACGACCTTGATGCCCCGATCTGCAAGAAAGCTGGTGATCCAATCGCACAATTTCTCGGGAAGCCCATAAGATGGGAGCTTCGAAAGAAGCGCTTTGTGCCGAACGCGATCGAAGACTCTACTGCCTACGCCCATCTGTGAGTTAGGTAGACCAGAAGATCACCAGCTGACCGACTATGACGAAAACCGTATTGGCAAGTCTGATTCTCGGTTCCTCGTGAGCTGGCAGTTTACAATGGACTCCATTGTTTTGGAGAACAAGGAGGTGATGGCGATAGGCCGGTAGTTGGACGGGTCTGAGCGGTCGCCTTTTTTAGGGATCGGGTGGACGAAAGCTGTCTTCCATGATTTTGGGACTACGCCTAGGGAGTAGGAGTACCGGAAAAGACGCGTTAAAACCGATGCCAACTCTGGAGCACACGTCCTCAGCACAATTGGGGGGATTTCGTCAGGCCCACTCGACTTGTGGATGATTGAGATAGATCAGTCGATTGAGATAGTGTGCAAAGAAAGACCGCATCCTATCTCAATCGGCTGTATAATTTTGCACAATTTTTCTTATTGTAATATCGATTCATACATAACCACATATATGAACTGTATTCATTTCCTTTCAATAAATGTTAGTAAGGCTTATTAATAAGGCTTACTAAGAACTATTTCTACCACAGTTAAGTAATAGTTAAGGGTGAAAGCGTGACTGGTGGTGATAGTATTTCTAATCAATACTTATAATCACGCCTGTAACCCTTGCGGGGTAGGCAGATCATCAACGGATTACTTAATATCGTCTGCGAGGTTATTGCCTATTCTGTGAATTACAATGCAACAAAAAATTTTCCCACGGGAATGAGATGTTTTGTAATACATATTATATTAAATTAGATTGCACTAAGCAATCTAATTTAATATAATATGTATTACTTGTGGGATACATTGAGTTTTCATGCGATGGCCAAGTCAATCTATTTATTTGAAACATAAAAAGATTTTTAGCATTGATATGGTCACTATAAAGTGTTGCTAGGTTAGCTAGTTACGTAATAACTTAAAACAGAAGGACCCTTAAGTAGGGACTGAATAAATTAACCACTACTCACAACGGTAAAAACAAGTTCCGACTTGTTTTCTTAAAGAATGCACCACTGTAGATAAGATAGTCTTCTTTCCTCCTCTTAAACACCTATTATACATATACGACACTTTCGTTCACTCAATGTTTTTATATTTATTATTAAAAGTTATTTATGAATAAATTAACCGACTTGGTATTACATGGATATCACAACTTTTTACGGTAGAAGAACTGAGTTTCGAGACTTGTTTTTTTTACAAGTTATGTTTTTGATGGTATTTTGTTTTTATCCTGAAGCCATAAAACATATTTATGAGAAAAGCGATTCCAAAAATATTGCTTTAGGTAGTCGATGCGATGGAAACGCTGGAGACTGGAGACATTGACATTGGCAATTTGTGGATGAGGCATCATAACTAGAGACTGTACAATAAGGAAATGTGCAGGAGTGAGTGGAGTGAGGTCTTTAGAGTCATTTTAAATAGGAACTATGGGTCTTGAATTTAATATTGCTTCTATTTGGATTAGACATGTTGCCATTTCCTCAAAAGTCAAATGTGTTAGGCCTAAAATTCGACGCAGATGATGTTTCAGGGATTTGACAGCAGACTCCCATAGTCCTCCTAAATGAGGTGTATAGGCTGGTATGAAAGAAAAATTAATACCTGTATTGCGATGTCGATGTCGTTTAGTTGTAGGTCTTGTGACAGCAGTTAAGCCAACTCATTCAAGGCCCCAACAAACTTAGTGCCATTGCCTGAAAGCACGTTGCGTGGTTTCCCCCTACGAGCAATAAAACGGCTAAAAGCAGCTAAGAAGGCATACTTTGTCGTGTCTGACACTAGCTCTAAATGGACTGCTCTTGTGGCCAAACACACAAATACGCAGATAAAACATTTGACGAGTTTAGCACCTCTCCCCTTTCTATCGGCGATCATAATTGGTCCGGCGTATTCTACTCCGGAATCAAGAAAGGGGAATTCTAGGTGAACGCGTTGCTCTGCTAAGTTTCCCATGACTGGTTGTATCGCATTTGCCTTTATCCTACAATATTTTAAACATTGTCGTGTAAATTTTCGAGCTAAATTTCTGCCACCAATAGGCCAGTAATGATGCCGAATGGTAGCAAGCAGTAACTGTGGGCCAGCATGAAATAACTTAATGTGAAACATTTCAAAGAGTAAAACTGTTGTATGATGAGAACTTGACATTACCTTATAATCATAAATGAGTTATTTAGTCTCCCCCCAACACGTATAATGTTATTTGAATCTAAGAACGGTGACAATGAGTTAAGTTTGTTTTTATTTGGTAACTGCTTACCCATTTTCAATAAATTATGAAAAGTTGGCCCAAATGCGTTAAGCGGGTGGACGTGTTAAAAAGTGTTCCCATCAAATTAATCGTTAAACGTTTCAAACAGCGTTATTTAGTGGTATATTGCAATAGTTGTGAGACTATAATAGTTTTTCAAAGTACATTAAACAAAAATTATAAATAAATACTGATATAAATGGATACATAACAGAAATAAATATTCAATTGAATTACAAGTACCGACATTAAGCGGGTGGACGTGTTAAAAAATGTTCCGATCAAATTAATCGTTAAACGTTTCAAACAGCGTTATTTAGTGGTATAGTGCAATAGTTGTGAGACTATAATAGTTTTTCAAAGTACATTGGTGCTTAGTTCTGATAAAAGTGATCTAAGTTAAGAAAAATTAGCAAAATCATTTTAACTTACCCTTTAAGAAAACTTGAAGGACTATTGCATATCGTACAAGGAGTTCAAAAATTTCATCGTATCTGCTCAAGGCGTGTTGATCGAACGGCCTAACGGTGTGCACATCAATTAAAAGTTAAAGCGACGGAGGATCGAGTCCACTGCACTGTAAATTGGAGTTGACGCACTTTTTGTACTTATAATTTGTATTAAATTCTCTGCATTTTAACGCTTTATTCAATAGTAAAATGGGCGGAAGGTGTGAAGCATGCAGAGCAAACATAAATGTTACTCAAAAACGAATAAAATGCACACAATGTTCGCATAACTACCATTCAGAGTGCATAAATTTTAATAATGATACTGCTTCAAGATCTGAATGGAAGTGTCCCGCTTGCACTGCTTCTTGTCGAAAAGGTGGTGATAACAGTAACACTCCGATACGAACTAATAAGTCTCCTTCCAACACCGTTTACGATAAAACTACGTATAGATCATCAAAAAAAAGTTCTGACCAGCCTACATGTATCACTGAGACCAGTAGTTGCCAACCATATAATTTGGAATTAATTAATAGCATAGAGTTACTGTTAGACAAAAAACTCAGTGCTATAAAATTCGATATAATTCAAGAGTTGAAATTATCACTTATCACTGAAATAAAAAATGAAATAAGTAATAACCTTAAACAGCTGGAAGAATCGCATAACAGTTTGCTAAATGACTACAACAATCTTAAAAGTAATTTTGAAAAACTTCAACAAAATGTCCAGAATTTCGAGATGAAACTGGTGGAATTATGTGCGCAAATAAAAAAAGAACAACAATGGGGTAGACTTTCGAACTTAGAGATTGTTGGTTTACCAGAAAACTCAAAAGAATCGACTTCTGAATTAATAATCAAAATAGCCAGCCATGCAGGAATAAAGCTTACGGATGATCAAATTGTTTTTGCGCACCGAGTTCGGCCTATGCAGAATGTTGGAGGTCGCCCAAAAAACATTGTAGTCAAATTTCAGAATCGCACTATTAAAGATAATATTATTTCAGGGCTCCGAAAAACCAAAGGAATTACTTCTTCCGATATTGGACTGGGTGGTCCAGCCAAAAGGCTTTTTGTTAACGAACACCTGACCCCTGAGAATAAGCAACTCTTGAAAATAGTAAAATCACGAGCAAGGGCCAAATCATATAAGTTTGTCTGAAAAACGAGGAGTCTCCCGCTATCACTATAAATTCCGAAAAAGATTTATTAAAAATTGTATGATAAGATTAATTTTGATAGTATTAGCATGCCATGTTTTAATATTAATAGTTACATATTTAACACATAAAACAAAACTCACGATTTACACATCCATTATTACATACATCAAAATCTTACATTTACACACATCTTTCAAAATTTACATCAATACTGAATATTTACACCAATATGCCCTACAAAAGAAATGTATAAGCTACCATTTCTTACCTTGTACAAAAATAAAATTCCTGTCTGTTGCAAAACCATCCCTCATGACTCTTCAACCTGTATTATTTCTATTAAATAATATAATTATTATCTACATTACTATCAATTACTATGATAAATATAATTTTTATAAGTTAATTACAACACAATGGTACCTAAATCATGCTAAAAGTGCCTTATAACTCAATGCACATATTCTATCAAAACGTCCGTGGCTTGCGAACTAAAACTAGGCAATTTCGAGACAGTATAATTTGTAATAACTTCAACATAATACTCATTACAGAAACTTGGTTGACTGATGGTATTTACAACGGTGAATTATGTGACACACATTTAGGTATGATAGAAATAAAACATCTTCGCTTAAAAAGAAGGGTGGGGGGGTCATGATTTGTACGTATACACAATTACAAGCTCAAGAACGGACCGAATGGATGTGTAGAGATCTCGAATGTTTGTGGGTAACAATACCAGGAAAATATTTAATTTGTCAAGACAGACGTAATTTAAACATTGGAGTTGTTTATATACCGCCTGATAATTATCAATCAAAGCGTTTAGATAATTTTACAGAAATGCTCACAAAAATCATAACTCAATGTCCAAATGATCATTTTATAATTGCTGGTGACTTCAACCTAGCGAATATATCTTGGTCCTCTTCAGGTCCCGTAATGCTTAAGCAAAGTCCAGTACAATTACAAAATGCTACAATAAAGTTAACTGATCTATGCAACTTATCAGGGCTAAATCAACATAATATTATTAGCAACAATAGTGGCAACGTACTAGACTTAGTGTTTAGTAACATAAACATAGACGTTACTCGTTCTCAAGTATATCTTGTATCTGAGGATAAATGCCATCCTTCTTTACTGCTCGACGCATCTGATCTGCTAATACCCTGCTTAAAAAATAAACCACGATCAAAATTAAACTTTAACCGAGTTGATTACGATAAAATAAATAAAGCCCTCTCAGAAGTCAACTGGTGTTCCTTGTTAACTGGCAACTCAATTGATGTCGTAGTTCAAAATTTTTATTCCCAGCTACACCTAATAATTGATAAATTTGTACCTACTTGTTTATCCCGTTCATCTAATTACCCTGTTTGGTATTCTAAATCACTAAGGCATATTATTCGAGAAAAGCTCTTAAAACATAAACATTGGAAAAAATATAAAAATCCCCGTGATTATGACGAATTTTGCATACTACGTACTAGACAAAAGAAATTACAGAAACAGTGCCACGAGCGTTACTTAGATAAAATGCAAAGTCTTCTAAAGAAAGATCCTAAAATATTATGGTCTTATTTAAAATCTTATTAAAAATCAAATTACAACAAACAAATTTATCAATTTTCAAATAAATCTTATTTAAAAATTGATAAATTTGTACCTACTTGTTTATCCCGTTCATCTAATTACCCTGTTTGGTATTCTAAATCACTAAGGCATATTATTCGAGAAAAGCTCTTAAAACATAAACATTGGAAAAAAATATAAAAATCCCCGTGATTATGACGAATTTTGCATACTACGTACTAGACAAAAGAAATTACAGAAACAGTGCCACGAGCGTTACTTAGATAAAATGCAAAGCCTTCTAAAGAAAGATCCTAAAATATTATGGTCTTATTTAAAATCTTATTAAAAATCAAATTACAACAATACAAATTTATCAATTTTTAAATAAATCTTATTTAAAAATTGATAAATTTGTACCTACTTTTTTATCCCGTTCATCTAATTACCCTGTTTGGTATTCTAAATCACTAAGGCATATTATTCGAGAAAAGCTCTTAAAACATAAACATTGGAAAAAATATAAAAATCCCCGTGATTATGATGAATTTTGCATACTACGTACTAGACAAAAGAAATTACAGAAACAGTGCCACGAGCGTTACTTAGATAAAATGCAAAGCCTTCTAAAGAAAGATCCTAAAACATTATGGTCTTATTTAAAATCTTATTAAAAATCAAATTACAACAATACAAATTTATCAATTTTTAAATAAATCTTATTTAAAAATTGATAAATTTGTACCTACTTGTTTATCCCGTTCATCTAATTACCCTGTTTGGTATTCTAAATCACTAAGGCATATTATTCGAGAAAAGCTCTTAAAACATAAACATTGGAAAAAAATATAAAAATCCCCGTGATTATGACGAATTTTGCATACTACGTACTAGACAAAAGAAATTACAGAAACAGTGCCACGAGCGTTACTTAGATAAAATGCAAAGCCTTCTAAAGAAAGATCCTAAAACATTATGGTCTTATTTAAAATCTTATTAAAAATCAAATTACAACAATACAAATTTATCAATTTTTAAATAAATCTTATTTAAAAATTGATAAATTTGTACCTACTTGTTTATCCCGTTCATCTAATTACCCTGTTTGGTATTCTAAATCACTAAGGCATATTATTCGAGAAAAGCTCTTAAAACATAAACATTGGAAAAAATATAAAAATCCCCGTGATTATGATGAATTTTGCATACTACGTACTAGACAAAAGAAATTACAGAAACAGTGCCACGAGCGTTACTTAGATAAAATGCAAAGCCTTCTAAAGAAAGATCCTAAAATATTATGGTCTTATTTAAAATCTATACGTAATAGCAACTCTACATACCCTAATACATTAAAATTAGGAAATGAATCATACACAAACGAAACGAACGTGTGTGCGGGATTTAATAAATTCTTTGAAAGTGTTTTTCAAAAAGCCTTCTTCTTCTTACGATTATTCCCATATACCAAACGTAGAATCAAATGATATACTACATAATATATACTTTAGTACTAAAAATGTTTCTCGTATTCTACATACAATTAAAACTAATACAGGGCCTGGTAGCGATGGCATACCTCCTCTATTTATACATAAATGTGCAAAACACTTGGCCAAGCCTCTCTCAATAATCTTTAATATGTCTGTTAACACCTATGGAACATTTCCTAGTAAGTGGAAAGAAGCTCTAATAATACCTATACATAAGAGTGGACCAAAAAGCAGAATTGAGCACTACCGCCCAATCTCCATATTAAACACATTTGGAAAGATTTTTTAAAAACTTATCTTTATACACATCAGTCCCATAATCTTAAAATCAATACCAACTGAACAACATGGTTTTATAAATAAAAGATCAACTGTAACAAATTTAGCTACTTTAACCAATTATATATATATGAGCATGGACGACAGGCAGCAGGTTGATGTAATATACACGGACTTTGAAAAAGCATTTGACCGTGTTGATCATGCCATCCTTTTACGTAAACTTTACAGTTTGGGTATTCATGGTGATTTGCACAGATGGGTAACTTCATACATAAGTAACAGAAGGCAAGCAGTGTTACTGGGTAGTGCTCGTAGTGATTTTATTATGGTAACATCTGGTGTCCCACAAGGCTCAATACTCGGACCTTTGTTCTACAACGCCTATTTATTTGACATCGGTGACTGCTTCTATCATTCAAACTATTTAATGTTCGCAGATGACAAAAAAATTTATCTAAAAATAAAAACAATTGATGACTGTGTTCTGATTCAAAACGATTTAAAAAACCTAGAAACTTATTACAGCAAAAATAGAATTACTATCAATAGTGAAAAATGTGTCAAAATAACCTTCAGTCGCAAGAAACAGCTCATAGATTACAATTATTCAATTAACAATAAATCCATAAAGAGTGTATCATCAGTTAGAGATCTTGGTATCAGGCTGGACTCAAAATTAACGTTCAATGAGCATATAGAGAGTATTGTTGACAAAGCCTACAAGCAAATTGGATTCATAAAGCGCGTCTGCAACGATTTTAGCAGTATTAATTGCATTAAAGCTCTATACGTTGCATACGTAAGGAGTGTTCTCGAATACGCTAATACAATCTGGTCTCCAAAGTATGCGAAGCATAAGCATCGAATAGAATCAATTCAAAAACTGTTTATTAAGTTTATCTCATCAAAAGATCATAATAGTTTTGTTTCATACGAAGATGCTTGCAAATTTTACCGCTTAGATACCTTGGAACTCAGAAGACTTCAACACGATATGTTTTTGCTACACGGTTTATGGTCTGGTAACATAGATTGTCCAGACCTATTCTCTAAAATATCTATACTAGTACCTAAATACCGAACTAGACATACGCCATTATTTCACGTACCACGAGCAAACACAAATTACGCAAAAAATTCTACTTTATGTCGTATTGTTCAAAACTATAATAAGTTTTACGCTGACTTGGATATTTTCAACCTATCCAAGAGTCGCATCAAACGTGATGTTGTAAACAAAAATAGGGCATAATCATACACACACACACATCACACACACACACACACACACACACACACACACACACACACGCGCACGCACGCACGCACGCACGCTTAATTATTAGTTGATAAAAACTGTGTAATCTCTATTGGCCTTACTATATGATAATATGTATTGTAAATACGATAAAAACGCTGTATGATTACCTAAATAAATAAATAAATAAATTATATTCATCGTAGTAGGATTGTTCTTGGGCAATTCTAATTAAATAATTAGTAGAGTTAGTGAGTTCTTGAGAACTTAAGGGTCCTAATGATTTAAGAGACCCGTGTTTTGAGTTATTTATGAATCGCAATATATAAGCCATAATACGTTGTAATTTGAGGAATTTGGAATATTTTGAAATTAATTTATCTAGTTC